GACCTCCTTGAGGTCGAGCGTCTCGTACTCGACAAGGGCCTTGGCCAGGAGATCCAGTTCCTTGCGCTTCGATGTCAGGAGCGCACGTACGTTCTCCTGGCCCTCCGAGATGAAGCGCTGCACCTCCTGCTCGATAAGCGCACGCGTCTCCGAGCTCAACTCGCGGTACCGGCCGTTGTACTCGACAGAGCCGAGCTTGTCTGACATGCCGTACTTGGCCACCATCTGGAAGGCAATGTTGGTTGCGTTTTGCAGGTCCTGTCCCCTATTGTTAGCACTGTCTGCGTGTCCGTGTGTGTGTATCACCCATTTTGCTTCCCGGGCTCACGTACCGATGAGACGCCCGTCGTCACCTTGTCGCTGCCGTAGACAATCTCCTCGGCGAGCTTGCCGCCCAGCGACGTCTCGATGATGGCCTTGAGATCACTGTGCGTGTACGAGTACTTGTCCATCTCCGGCAGGTAGGCCGTGTGGCCGAGACTCTGGCCGCGCGGCAGAATGGTCACCTTGTACAGCTTGTTGGGGCCCTGGGCGTTGAAGTAGCCGACGAGGGCGTGGCCAGCCTCGTGGTAGGCCGTCATCTCCTTCTCCTTCTCGCCAATGACCGTCTTGCGCTCGGCACCCATGATGACCTTGTCCTTGGCCCACTCAAAGTCACGCATCGTGACGGCCGTCTCCTTGAGCCTGCTGGCACGGACGGCGGCCTGGTTGACAATGTTCTCGAGCTCGGCACCAGACAGGCCCGAGGTGCTGGCGGCGATGGCCTCAAAGTTGATCTCGGGGGCGGCCTTGATCTTCTTGGCGTGGTGCTTCAGAATGTCGATGCGACCGCGGACGTCGGGCAGCGAGACGGTGACGTGGCGATCGAAGCGGCCGGGTCGGGTCAGGGCCTTGTCGAGGGCCTCGGGGAAGTTGGTCGCGGCGATGATGATGACGCCACTGTTCTGTTCGAAGCCGTCGAGTTCGGTGAGCAGCTGGTTGAGCGTCTGCTTGACGTAGGAGGCGTCCCTGGCGTTGCGCTTGCCGCCAATGGCGTCGAGCTCGTCGATGAAGATGATGGCAGGCGACTTGTCCTTGGCCGAGGTGAAGAGATCGCGAACGCGCTTGGCACCGACGCCGACGTAGACCTCGTCAAACTCGCTGCCAGACATGTAGAAGAAGGGCACACCGGCCTCGCCGGCGACAGCACGCGCGAGAAGCGTCTTGCCCGTGCCGGGAGGGCCCACGAGGAGGATGCCCTTGGGCAGCTTGCCGCCGAGGGTGGAGAACTTGTCGGGGTTGCGCAGGAAATCGACGAGCTCCTGGAGCTCATCCTTGGCCTCGGTGGCGCCGTGCACGTCGGCAAACTTGGTCGTCTGGCTCTCGGCCCTGACCTCGCTATTGTTGGCCTTGTCGCCGGGCCGCTTGTACATGTTGAAGCCGTCGGCGATGAAGCTGACGGCGACCATGCTGAGGTAGACGAAGAGGCCGAACCAGAGCATGAATTTGGTCCAACGGAAGAGCATGCCGCCAAGAGACTCGTCGACGACGACAAAGAGGGGGCCGTTACGCGTGCCGACGGCGGCACCGGTACCAGCACCAGCACCAGCACCAGCAACAGCACCACTGGCGGGCTGGCTGGCGACGGCAGCATTGGAGCCCTGGGAACGGGCGGCGAGAGCCTGGCCCACGGCCTGCAGCTGCGCGTCGCTCAGACCGGTTCCGGGCGTGTCGGCGTGGGCTCCGTGTGCGCCGAGGAAGGCGGTGCTATGGGCTCCGATGGGGGTGGTGCTGTGGGCTCCGATGGCCGACTGGTTCTGCAGGGCCAGGGCCTGACCATAGGCGGCGTTTGTCGCATCATTGTTGGCGAAGCGTCCCGAGTTGTGGCGCTCGATGACGATGGCGGGCATGTTGGCCTTGAGGAGGAGCTGATAGAATGCATTCTGCGCGGTGGCGCTGCTGGGGTTCCGGTTCGCCGCCGCTTCCCTGGCGGCCAGGAGGTTTCGTGAGACGCCGTTGGTGCCGAAGGACCGGGTCTGGAGCAGGCCGAGGGCTCTCGTCGTGGGCCCCAGGGCTATCGTCGTGGCATTCGGTGTCGTCGTGAGTTTGAGGAGGGATCGCAGGGAGGTCGGATGCGCGAGCGGGCGACGCAGCGCAAGGCTGGCGGCGCTCAGGGCGAAGACGGCCGTCGGCCGGAACGCCATGGTGAGAGCGAGGGAAGGCCAAGCGAGAGGCGGGTGTGTGTGTGTGTGTGTGTGTGTGGTGGGAGAGGCGGTCAGACAAATTTGTTCTTCTTTGCCGTGCTGCTGAAGTGCAGGATCCTCGTGTAGTATACTGTTACCAAAGTCGTGTTGATGCGGGCGGACGCATAGTTCACCGGAGAGCCGGCATGGTGATCGTGCGGAAAGAGGCCACAATGTGGTTTGAGTCAAAAGAGTCAAAAGACCTGACGTGATGGCAAGTCGACGACGCATGGACGCCTTGCGCTAGCCTAGCTAGCGCCTTGTCTGTGGTGGTGTTCACCGTTCGGCAAGAGGGACCCGCTGCTGCGGTCGAGGGCCGATGTTGACCCGGGCAGCAGGTACCTAAGTACCAAGGTAGGTACTACCTGTAGGTACTGTCTGTCTGACTCTCTATCGTCTGTCTGACTGGCCACAATGGGTGACTGCCGGCAAATCGAAGCCCCAGAATTACAGCCAATGACACACCACCCTCGTCCCAACGTCGCCTCCCGCCTCTCGCGTCTCCCGCGCCGCATGCATCCAAGAGTGAACTCGAAGCAGCGCCGTGCCGCCCTTCTGAGGAGCGTGCCGCCTCCGCTGAGGAGAGCGAGCGGGCGAGAGATTGGATATTCTGACACGTCTACGCGCCGAGCGAGACCCCCATCGTCACTCACATAAACCCTCATTCATGGTCCTGCTCATCCACCCCGCGCGTTCCTCTTTCCACCGTGATTGCCTTCTGTCATTTATTCGCCCATTGCTCTGTCCATCAGGCCGCACCTGCCTCGCCCCCATTCACCAGCACCCAGCATGTGAAAGAACCCGTCAGCCGTGGTGCTGGTGGAACGGGAGCGAGGCAGGTGCAGCCTGATGAACTCATGGTATCACCCACACGACGACACCCTCTTCTTCGCACCTCCACAAACACCCGCCAATACACCCGAGATAGCCTCATATCACGTATCACGTCACCCAACGACGGGGCCCTACAAATACATACATGCTCATCATTCATCCCTTCCCTCTCACCAGCGCAACTCCTCCCTCACGCAGGTCCCCCCCCCGCTCCTCTCGCCCAGGCACCCACCCACCCGCCTGCATCGGCTCGCCGTCCTGCCGAACCATCTTCAACCGACCAGAGGGCGTCGCCACCAGGGAAACCTCCCCCAGGAAACCTCCCCCAGGAAACCTCCCCCTTCCTACACGCTGCCCGTCATTTCGTCCGCCGCCCCCTTGCGTCTGCATATTCGCCTGGCGGCAAAGGCAACCCGCCTTGCAAGGTCATCATGGCCGCGTGCGAGGGTCCACGTTTCCATACCTACCTACCTATCTAGGGAGGTAGGCACCTCTGCTACCTCGCATCGCCATCGCTGCTGCGCAGCAAACGGAAGTGGTAGGCCCACACGACCTCTCCCAACGGTCACAGCCTCATATAAGGTGCAGAGGCACGACGGCGGCGCAAGCGACTTGGACTCGCGAGTCACTCTCTGCTGTCTCTCTTCGATTTTGATTTCTTTGGACTTGATTTGTTTGCTTTCCATTGAACACATATATATATCCCAGGTGCCCTCGGTCGATTGCGCTGCTACGAGACTTCTCGCCCACCTCTCCCTTGCGGGAGGGATCACTCACTACAAGTACAGATTGGCATGCCGCTGTCACCAACGCATGTCCTTTTCTCCCCCCCGCTGCCGCCTTCTTCCACGGTATGAGCCACCACGCCTCCCGCCTTCTGCCCGTATTAACAATGCACCATCCGCCTCTTTCCAGTCGTTCGTAATGGGGCCGTCAAATCTCCGCACGTCGTGAGGGAAAAGGGGGGGCAAAGGGGAGCGAGGAATCACCCGATTCATCTGCTCCGCCAAGCCCCCCTCAAGTCTCCTGCGCTCTTGCGAGCATGCTTCCGTTGAGTCTCGTTGCATCGTGGGCATCCCGTTCGCTTCCTCTTCGCGCTTATCCTCAAATTCGACAACAGTAACAACAACTCAGCCATTAAGAGAGAGGCAGCACACCAGCTCGCCCCATCAAATCATGTACACGATAAACAGAAGGGGAAACATACAAACATGGCCCGAATCCTCAAGGATATCCAAACGGAAAATTTCAGCGCAAAAAAATAAAATTGTCAGAATGTCCGCCCACCGTGTTTCCCAAGAGCAGATGCGGTATTAGAGGTATCGATGGACAAAAGGGAATTGAACAGAGAAAGAGAGATCATAGGAGACGGGGGGTGCCGAGTGAGCCTCGCGGCTTTCGATCACTCCCAGGAGGGAAAGGTGTGAAGGGGAGTGGACGTGTGTCCTCTACTCTCCTCACCACATCTTTTGCCTCGAAGCAAAAATGGGACGACGCCAGAACGGGATGCAGACTGGTCAATGTCGACCACTTCGTGTCTTTTTTCTTCTTCTCTCCAAAATTGCCCCGAAAAAAAAAGATCAATCAAAAACATAGGCCGTCATGGCCATGGCTGTGCGACGCCCGTGTTGGTCTGTCGACAACTCGGTCCTGTGGAACCCGCGTGGTATCTCCCTTTTCAGGTATACAGCGCCTGCAGCTGGAGAAAAGTCAAAGAAAGAGAAAGGAGACAAAGCAGGAGAGCGTGACGGCGTGTAGTTATTGGTACACATCGAGGCCATTGGTGTGAGAGGGCGGAATGGCCTGCGAGGAAAAGGCAAGATGTTAAGCGTCGCTCTGTGGGGCGATGCTGGTAGGGAGGGTCGTGCAGGTATTTGCTCGTTTGTTTTCTTTTTGTCGTTGTCTTGTTTGTTTCCATTTTGCTTCGTCAACCTTGTGTGTTCTTTACATGTTTTCGATGCGGGCACTGGGCAGCTGCATCGACGGGTCCTCGAACTCGATCTTGGGGCCCCAGAGATCATAGGTGCCGGAGCCAAAGGTGGGCAGCGAGCCAATGGTTGCGACCTCGACCGGCGCTTGATATGCCGCACCATTCCAGTAGTCCTCGGCCACAGCCTGGGGCTGAGGCGAGGGTGAGGGGTAGTGCTGGGACATCTGCTGGACCTGCTGCTGTACGGGCTGAGGCGCCTGGGCTTGAGGGGCAGGTACCTGTGTCGATACCTGTTGGGCATAGGGGACTATCTGCGGCTGGGGCTGGTGTTGCGGGGTATGCTGTTGTGCGTGATCGACGGGTGAAGCGGCGTGGAGGGCGTAAGTCGCCGTCTGCGTGGGCTGATGCGTGTAGAAGCCTTCCTGAGTCGACGGGCTCCGGCCAGAACCAGCCGAGAAGTTGCTCGGGCTGCTCTGCATGGCCTGGTGAGGTGCCGAGTAAGGGATCTCGAGGGGCAGCCTCTCCACCGGTTGCCGGGGCACTTGGTACTGTGCGGGCATGGGGTTCGTGTTCATCGTCGCCACGCCAGGGTTGCTCTGCTCCGTCACATAGTACGAGTGCTGCGGCATGCTCGCGGTCCTGTGCAGCATGTGCGCACCAGGGTGCTGCTGAGGGGTCTGCTCCTCGACGGGCATGCTGTGGAAGATCTGAGCGTTGTTGGACGACAGGCTATGGCGGTGGCCGTACTGGTGCTGCGGCGGCGGCTGCAGCTGTTGGTGCTGGTGGTGCTGGTGGGTGGGCTGCGGAGCTTGCTGCGGCATGGGGTAGCTCATCTGTTGGCCAAAGTCGGCAAAGGACGCTGCTCGGTGCATGGCGTGTCCCTGGGGCATTCCGGAGTGGTTCACAGGCATGGCAGGCCAGTGCATGGCCGAGTGTCTGGGGGTGGAAGGGGACTCGCCGCTCTCCGAGTCGGAGGTGCAGTCGTCGAGCAGTTCGTTCGAGTGCATACCACGCTGGTGGGAACGCCTCTGGTGTTTGACCATGGTCGTCTTGCGGCAAAAGCTATCCAAGTGGTCAGCATCTTGTTCTACACTTGGTTCGTTGTGACTTGGCAGGCGTGCCATACCTCTTGAGACAGCCATCGTGGGCGCACTTATATGGGCGTTTACCCGTATGGATTCGTCGATGCCTCGCCAGACTCGAAGACTGGTACCTGTCAGTTGCGGGCCACTTGGAAGGAGGAGAGGAAGGCCACTCACGTCGGAGAACCTCTTGCCGCATCCAATATGTTGGCATTGGTGAGGCTTCTCCCCCGTGTGGGTGCGGATGTGGACGGTCAGGGCGCTTCGCTGGATGAAGGACTTGCCGCAGCCGGGTGTCGCACACGAGTACGGGCGCTCGTTGGTGTGAATGCGGTAGTGTCGTTGCAAGTCAGACTTGCGGTTGAAGCTCTGCATAATCAACGTGTCAGTGGCAAAGTCCTCAGCGGAACGCCGCGGACCTAGCGGTCGAGAGCGTCCGAGCAGGCAAGCGTACCTTGTTGCATGACTGCCAGTCACACTGGAAAGGGCGAGCGGTAGGCTCGTTCTCGACAAGCTCCATGAGTTCCATTTCTTCACGTTTCGTGCTGTGGGATCAGGAATATGCTGAGAGTATGTGCTAGACGGAGAGCAAGTGCGTCCTGGTGTGTGAAAGTGAGGAGCAAGGATGAACGCGGCGGGTTCTCGGGGGTCAAGCGGAAGGGTTGCCTGTCCTGACAGTGGTATCCCTAGCTCGTATGGGTATGTGCGCGGCAGAAGTTCAATGCGGTCAATGCAGGCTGGGGGGTCGCAGCTCGTTCGCGAAACAATGTCGTCGACGACAGGAAGGAGCCGGAAGTGGGATCAAAGATGAGAATGCGGCGTCCAGCGCAGTACTTGGCGGAAACGCGATTGTCTGACGAGGTGTACAGACGACGACGTGGGCAGAGAAGAGGACGGGCGAGATATGATCGGTCGGTGGAAGATGATGGGGAGGATGAGAATGGGACGATGGGTCAAGCAAGGCTCACCACCTCTATTAGTGTAGGGGGAGGGAAGTAGAGTCAAGAGACAAGAAAGATGGAAGAGGTATGCTGGAACAGATCAGTCAAAGAGATCATGAACGTTCGAGCTGATCGGGTCAGGGTAGAGGCAGGTCAGGTTCATAGCGGGTGGGAAGGGTCCTCTTTAAGACAAGGTCGGATGCGTGTATGAACGTACCGGAGGTGAGAGGGTCCGTGGCACTCAGGTACGTGACTGACAAAAACTCCGGTCCGCGAGGATAAGCCACACAGGTAGCTGCTGGATGCGTCGCGAGTGGTCAAGCGGCCAAACTGGTGGACGGTGGGACTTTTGGGCTGATGTTTACAGAATAGGGCAAGACTACCTCCTCCTGTGTGCAGCAGATGGCGAGATGGCGAAGCGGCGGGGGGGGGGGATGGACCAAGGTTGTCCTTGCCTGCCGTGTCTTTGTTTCGAGGTCTGAGTGTCGAGGAACGGCGTGTGTTAGGTTCCGGGGGACTGCAGATGCAGACAATGGGCGGCCACGCGGGAACGGCAAGGCGATCGACGAAGTCCAGTGCGCTCAGGCACGGGGACGAACTAGGCTGACGGATCTCGACGATTGGCGTCTCTCAGGGTCTGAGGTCCGAGGGATGAAGTCGTCTCTGCTTTTTTTGGGGCCGTCTTCCTAGCTTCTTTACCTCTCTTCGTCCGTCTCGTGCGAGGTGCACGGAGCTTCACAAGGCCCACGACAAGATGTCCACCGACAAGCTAGGCTTCAACAAAACGAATCATGAGGTTCACCTTAGTGGGGGTGGAGTTGAAGCCGGAAACTCCTGGCTGCTCGTGTCGTGATGGCGCTTGTCCTTGAACGGGCTGTGGACGTGCTCGTGGTTTGCGTCTAGAGGTTTGACGATGAGTCGTTGATCCGATGTTGGCCAAACAGGAGGACGAGATGGGAGGAACGGGAGGTCGAGGCTGAGGGAGGTGGGCTTTTGTAGAACAGAAGGAAGGGAGATGAGGCCCACGACAAGACTGCCTTGGGTTGGTAAGGGAAGTGAGGCGCTGAACGAAGGTATATATCACCACTGGCAGTATAGGACCCAGGTGTTTCTTTCTCCTAGGGGGGTGGTCCTGGCATTAGAGGGCAAGTGGAAAGGTCCAAGGGACAGGGTGTGGAGGGACCAGATCGTACCTTGTGTACATGTACCTGTACGTGTACCTGGAATACTGGAGAAGACCGTAAACCAGATTGGGCTTTTCTTATTTTCGTTGGTCAACAAGGGCCAAGTCCCGAGTCGAGTGGCTGCTGGGTGTGAGAACAGTCAAAACGCTCGAGCGCTGGCAGACTAGGGGGGGGGTGAGGGTCTGGTGTGAAATTGACTCGAGTAGGTGGTGAGCAAGGGCCAGACGCCAGGCAAGACGGGTGGACGGAGCTGCGGGCGTGGCGATCTTCTCAACGGGGGTGTGAGCCTCTGTGCGTCAGGTTGCCGGGTGTTCGAAGAGGATTAGCCCCGACGATAAAAATACTACGCAAAGTGTTTTGTCAACGCGATGGGGCGTCGATGTCCACGTTTGGAGGGGGTTATGGGCTGGTGGATGTTGCTGCAAGCGCACAAGCACTCATCACAGTCGACGTCGTGGGGGAATGGATGACTAGAGCAGAGGAAAAAGGACGGATGATGTGCGATGTACGCTCGTCCCCTGCGAGGCACAGCCCGAATCCTAGTCTGGATGTGATGCTGTTCTGCTGATGATGAGGAGAGGGCGGAGCTAATGAGATGCGGCAATGGCGGTGGACGTGGATGAAGCTCTTCCCCTCGTGGTACCCTCAGGCGTCTGCCGTTGGTTCTGAGCCGGAACGCGGTGCGGTTCCTGAACTTATGCGAAGCCGCGAGCCGCGAGCCGCAGAAGGGGGGAGGGGGCTTGATGATCTGGTGATGGTAAGCTGGTGAACCAGTATGACGAAGATTCTGCTCGTAGCCACCAGAGAAGCAGCTTTTCCCTCGCGACGTGCCTTGTTCCTGAGCTGAT